AGAAAGCTCCACAAAAGTGACACCATGAAGCAGTTGGGTATTCCCACAAAATTTTGTGGGAATTCTACACAGAGCAAATTTCTTACCACATTCGCCTGACAACCTTGCTACACGACCAACTCCCTTAGAATTACTAAAGTAGACTAAGGGAACTGCATATTTTGGACCCATGTGACCACAGCTTGTTTTTGGGTACTTCAGGAATCAACTACTCCTCCGCCCAAATACTGACAGTTACCACGATAAAATTACTAGCTGAAGAAACCCACTGCGGTAGAAAGAGCTAGTGCCTCCTCAAATGCCTCTTCGCCACAAACATTTAGCAGACTCGTTTCCGGTTTCCCATTGAACTGGTCAACGAAGAGCATCACCAGGTCCGACTCAACTAGACGTTCATCCCGGAAGCGTAACAGAGGCACTTTGCCGTCGGGATTCAGCCGATAATACCAATCAGGCTTGCAGAGGGTGTTCACCAACACGCGATCATATCTGCGGGGAAAAGGACCTTCATTTCTCGGGTCTTCGAAACAACACCTCAGCAGTGCTCAGTTCAGACAAAAGGTTTTTCCTTTGTCATGTAGGGTGGTGCTCACTACGACTACCAGGTAAACTAAATTTATGCTTACGTGTGAAGCAAAATAAATAATATTGTGGCCTCGAAAGTGATGACTGCTAAATGATGGAGTTCGGTTACGAAAGTAAGGAATGGGACTACATAAGCGGGCTATGTACTACTTATGACAGCGTCATTCTATTCATGTTTTCACACATTAATGAGTATCCACTACCCTTGCAACTCACTAACTAATAAGCGCTACTACAATGTTTGCTTCATGTTATGAAAGGGAACTTACGGAATCTGGTGGTAGTCGAGTGTGTAGCGGACACGCTGACAAAACGGACAAAATTTAAGGTCATATAGTGTGAATTTTTCATAAGAAACCTCGGGTTCCGGGTCACCTGGAACACAAAAACAACACAGATTTTACAGACACAATTGTATCCATGCGTATATCTGTCTGTATCAGTTCTGAATGCCTGATCTTGGATATTGAACAGAGAAACCGCAAAATTAACCTTGGGTTCACGCTATTGCCCCTTCGTCCCCTTAACCGTGGTGTGGTTTACCTACCATGGAAATTACCGGGTCTATTACAGCGTGAATTCACCAAAACAATTTTCTGTTTCAAATAAATACCTGAGACCAATGACCCTAGAGCAGCATTGGAGTCTGGTTCTACAACTCCAAGCCTGCTGAATTACAATTACTTAGTTCTGGACAATCCTCAACAATGACAACATCTGGCTAACAGTCCCTGAATGTTCAGATGATGGCAACTTTTGTGATGTCAACTGGCAGTTGAACAGGTTTCCAACTTTGATCACTTTGGCATAGTGTCGATGCATGTCAACATATTGTACACACATTAAAAAGGCAGTGGTAACTACGTGGTACCAACAGCGATGAAATTAAACAGAGGAGACATGGTTATGTTTTCTGATTAACAGTCCTGATCTCCGATTTTTAATCTTTGGAGTCTAATGCTATTGTTGTAAGTAACGACCACTTGGAAAACTAACGAAAACACCAAAACATGAAGAAATCGTACCTTGCTTCAAATGATACATCACGAAACTAAACAAGGATAAAAGTGAATGGGTGTTGCACGAAACATTGTATTGTGGCGACGAATTTATATAGGGACGGAGACATATTGGACCGCGTTGGCCTCAGCCAATCCTCTGTCTCTTTGCTTTACAATGGCCTTCGAGGAAGATAAGCAGCCAACCAGAGAAGGACACGAATGAGGCGCAATATATAATGAGCAGCGTGGCCAATGTGGTGGACTCGGACGGAGGGCGCCTGACTAGTGACTCTGGCTTTTGGTTGGTCAATAAAGCCTGTTGTGTTGTACCGGTATTTGTCCTATTAGTGCTCGGGTATTTTACAGTGGTGGCAGCGGATGCGTTTCAATAACGCAAATCGAACCCCAGCCCTTTGCCGGTAATGGTCAACAGAGGCAATGAGCCTTAAATGCCTGCTGAAGTTGTCTTGGCGGTCATCCGACGTCCAATAAAGTGAATCCATAGACATTTCCTGGATTAGGACTTCAGAGTCCTAAGAGGAATTGGCAACTCAGCGACAACATGGACAGTGGAAGCCAGCTGGACTGCAACTGCGAATGGACCTTCAACGGATGATGAGTCTTTCCTGCAAGTCTACAAGAGCAAAGTCCCTCGTCAACTGTTCGCAGGGGCCACTATCCTGCCAGATGTGGGGTGCGGGGAGTGTCGAACTGGATATTTTACCAACACTGGATATCAACAACAGTGC